ACCACCATTATCACTAATGGTATTAACTACCATTATAATCTCACCACTACACAACCATCCTGACTGTTTGGCTCATGTAAGAAGTATTGGTCAGTACCAATTTGAAGTCTGAAGTCCTCATCATCAATACCTTAATTTGATCCTGTAAGTGCTGCAGAGCTGTCTTCAGGTGCTTCATCTTTGGGTTCTGGGTGATAATAGTCATTTCATTAACATGTCCACAGGCAATCTTTGACCTCTTATCATGACCTCTCCACTGTAGGTTACTAACACATATAAAGCTTCCAGGCCCCATAATCTCTTCAACAAAATATGCCTTTAAAAAAAAAAAAAAAAAAAAAAAAAAAATTCAGATACTTCAAATTGTAGTACAGTGTCATGATTACAGATACTTTAAATTGTAGTACAGTGTGATGAATACTGTTGTTGGAGTGTGCAAAGGTTTTAAAGGGAACAATGAATAAGTGAAGGGATTTTGTTTGCAAAGTAAGGTGAAATGAGGTAATTTTAAATTATTTAAGCACCATTTCCAGTAGGGTTGCCTGGCGGCACAAGCATTCTTTTTAGGGGAACGGTGTTCACCCCAGAGCTCCTCTCAAGATATATCACAGGTATCATCATGGAACATTCTATTATTTGTGAATGCATAAAGTTAAGCCAAAAAATTATATTACCTTCATTCCTCCCCAAAACTTGAGCGCAAAAACATTGACATCTGAATCAGAAAGGTAGACTGTCTGAGGTCGAGAACTACAAAAGAAAACAAAACATAATTACCCATAGAATATTTATGCAATATGAACATAAAATATATTACACTTAATAAACAAATATAAGATCATTACCCTACGTGCATCACTTTTAATAGAATCTCAAATAAAATATTGTCTCACATTTTGTTTTATTTGGGTATGTTTCTGTAATAATTGGATGAAAGAAATGAAATAAAAAAGGGGAAGGCTAATAGAATTGCCTATTGCAATAAAAAAAAAAATGTAAAACTTTTCTGTCTGAGTAGGACCAATATATAAACAGTGGCAGATCCAGGATTATGAAATAGATAGGCCCAGGGATTTTAACAGGTGGAGGGTCTATACCACCTAAGCCACACCATGGTTGGGGCTGAGGTAGGAACATTTATGATTATGGCACCTCTTGATGGCCGGAAATTGTACTCTCTGACTTAGAATTTGAATATAATTTTCCTTTTTTTCATTTTGAAAAATTTAGGTTGGGGGGGGGGGGTCCCTAGTCGGCTGGCCTATCCCCACTCTTGAATCTGGTACTGCATGCAGCTGAACTGCCTCCAGTAATTATTCACAAAATTGACTCTTTAAATACGAAAGTAAAAAAAAAACCTCTTTAATAAATACCTATTTCTGCTGCTGCTATAAGGTGTTGCATACATCACTAATCCCACAATGTCCATCTCCTGGTAGTCTGGCTGAAAATGTTCTCTAAATGTTTCAGCAAAGTTGGAAACTTCACGTGGAGGGTACAGAACATCAAGAACACCTGGGCTCGTAGGAAGCTGCTTGTAGCGACTGCATCTACTTGAGGCTAGCTGGACCCTATTCACACCGTCCCTACACCTACATAAATGTGAATGAAACTATCTAATGAGTAGATCAATACATGGGGATTTTTTGAAATATGGAATGTATGTACTATGTCACAGCCAAATAGTGGGATTAACATCACACGATGATTATATTTGGCATTGGATCAATATATTTCACTTAAAATATTTTTCCATAGTCATTAAAGAATACACTCTAATCTAGCCGAGTTTTGGTATTCTGGAAATATCAGAAAATTATTAAATATTGATCACTCTGTTACATATTTTTTAGGCAGTGGGTATTGTTACACCAGAATTAAACTAATTCCTAATTCTTGATTGGATGTCATTGTGTGTTTGGATTGGACAGGACAATAAAAATCTAATCACAAGTACGAATTGGTTTAAGACTGGTGTAATAATAGCTACTGCTTATTTGTTAATAGGCCTTTTGAAATTATTTCTTACCACCCAGCAGATGCATTGACATTGAAGATCTTCAACCTCTGACCTTCCCTCAAAAGACCGACAACTTCTTCTGCTGGCCGCCACACGGTGAGCAGGACACTGCTTGCTAAGCTACGTTCACATAGGTTGTAGTCGACAAGTCTGACCTTCATCAGTGGTGTCACCGTACGATTTGATCCCTGCAACGGAAGAAAAACAAATTACTGCCACTAAAATAAACAACTATTATATGGAAAGGTTTGAGCAAGATTTGCAGTTTGCAACAAATGTGACATTGGTGTGAAAAGAGCCCTCGTTTTCCTGGTAGGCAGCAGATTTCTATAATTAAACATACTACATACTTTTTATTTTTTTTTATTTTTGTAAATTTGAAATAGTGAAATAGATGCATAGTTAACAACCTGAGAGATTTGATATGCGTGTCTACACACCAGTTGGCTTGGGGGACGGGGCCCACAGGTCCCGGGGGACTGGGCCAAACCCAGGTGGGGTCCGGTTTTCAGTCACAGTTGGTAACTATGTAGATGATATATGATGACATGAGAATTTGTAGTGAATTATATCAGACTTAGCCACTACTCTACAATATGGATAGATTTTTACTCAAAACAAGCATTTTTTCTACAAAAAATATAATAATTAAAGATGATGGTATTACATTCTCTTGACCTATGACCCTTTGGATTTCAGTCTGCATGTCAGCATGCCTTTTATCCATTAAACTTCTTCTATGATCTTCTAGAATCTCAAGCTGATTTGGAGTCAGGTACATCTGTAATATAACAACATTCAAGCTTACAATTTTATTTAAAATAATAATTAATATATTATATTATATTATCATCATATTATGCAGAATAGCAACATTCAAGCTATTATTTTATTTAAATTTATTTAAATATTACTGTATAGTCTATAAAATTTTATTTTTTGAATTTTATAAAATGTTGTATTAAAAGACTAATAAGCTAGAAAGTATGTTAAAAACAACCTTTTTGCCGATGACCCAAAGAAACAGCAAGGTAATTCGCTGACCCACCAGTCCTCCCGAGGTGTTAAAAATAAAACGATACTCAAAATTGATTATTAAATGGTAAGGCATTGAGACCTTCAAATGAGCTAAATACACAACAGTATGGATACCATTCCACTTGACATTTAATAAAATAACAAGCCCCATTCCGGCAAAATTAAAAATATACAAGTCTATAAAATAAATAAAATATTATCAATAAATTATTATAAGTACATAATATATATTATTTATAATGTGTATATATATATATAATATAAAAATTATTTATAAATAAAATTATACATTATTTAAAATTATAAATTAACATTCATGAATTATAATATATAATTTAAATAAAGGAAATATTAAATATGATAACATTTAAAAAAATTATTGTTCCCATTGGAATAAGTTAATTTAATTGCTCTGTCAGAGAAGCAGAGGCCAAACTTCTTGTCAAGGACAGAAAATATTAAATTCAATTGAAATTTCATATTTGATTTCATATGAATTATTTATCACATTAGTTTGCAATACCTTTAGAAACAAGGTATCCTTGATAAGGCAATTCACATCGCAAATCTATATGCGGTAGACAGTCAAGCAAAGCGTGTTTCACAGATAATGGCCAAAACATGTTGAAATGTCACAATTTCCAAAATTTATTTTATTGCACAAAACTAACCTTTCTATACATCGTGCTATGTTATATTCCCAAACTTCGACTTAAAATTTTAGTATTGTTTCTTCCTGAGAAACGTCTGAAATCGTAAACTTTAATGGCTGATTTTCAGAATACTGTTCTTTCAACAGTTATGTTTAAATACCTGTAACTTCATAATGAAATGTCAGATTTAAATGATTTTGTGTTCACTTTATAACTTCACTTTACTGTTTACTTCATTTTACTGTTTAACGCTGTATTAATAACTAAAAATCAAATTTTCCAAGGAGTGACTGGTTTGGCTTGTCTTGTCTTTGCCACATATAGCGATTATATTGACTAATACTGCTATAGCTAAGTTGGTAGAACATTTCCAGGTAGTTGGAATGTATTGGGCACAAGCCCCAAATAAGGAAATACTCCATTATAGAGGTAAAAGGAATCTAAATGACCTACTGCGACCTTTCCTTTAGTCAATGTTAATCTTAATTAACATTTTTAAAAAGGAGGTCATATTTGCAAGAAAAGTGACATGTGCAGCAGAAAAATTCATATCAAGCAGAATTGGATGTACGTTGTGTTTTGTACACCGTGCATGTGCACGGCCAATCCAGCAATGCGCCTACAATACGTTCCCGCATTGTGTAACTACCACGTTGGCAGGTCTTTTGTGGTCGATAATTATGGTTCAAAAATTTAACCTTGATAAGCAGATTTTTTTTTTAAATGCTTGTTGGGGGGAAAACACTTTCAGATTGACATTATAACAATTATAGGTCTGAGTTGAGTATAATTCACTATTAGATTTGATTGCATTGTATATTTACTTATTAGCTGTCAGTTGTACAGGTTGTCAATTAACATAATAATCTGATCAGGCCAGGCCAGGCTTGTCTAGGCTAGGCTTGGCTTTAGTAGCGTTTAGAAATGTTGCCAGAAAAAAGATAAAAATTACCCCTTAATGGCCTTTGACCCCTTATCCCTGAACACCCTATAGACTCTGCCTTATGCCAATGTTAGATACTTTAAAATAGCTGGTAATTAATTTAAGACTTTTTGTAGTCAAAGGTCTGCAGAAAGCAAAATTCAATATTTTTTTTTTTTAGTCTTAAACAGTGCTTCATGCTAACAAGGCCTTCAAATTAATATGCTGGTCATCAGGTCAAACGTATCCATACATACTAAGCTCCCTAGGGGAAAATTTCATTATGTTCAGCTAGTTAATAGAACAATTATGTTCGAACCTGCCACAGGCATGCCAACCCTACAAGGCCAACAACAGGAGTCTGAAAACCTTTTGACAGGAGTTTTCGCAACGTCAGCGGAGTATGTTAAATTTTTTCCTAAAGATTGTACCATTGTGTTTGGGTATTATTGGTGTAGGCATCACCTGGTTTTGATTTCAAAATGACAGGATACTTCTCGTTTAACTTGCACGGAATGTTTGCGTGTGTTTTGAGCTTCTTTTTGGAGGAAGCTGAACACTACTACTACTACTTTTTTCGAGCACTGCCTAGACCTACATCCACATCACTTTCATTGGACTTTATTTTGGTACTTGTGGATTACTAGACTGTTGTTCTTACGAAATCAGTAGACAATGGAGCGCTTTACAGTTGG